TTAAATTATATTAATTAATTATAAATATAAAATTTGTTTTTTTTCATCAAATTCATATAAAAAATTAAATACATATTCAAATTTTAAAAAATGATAACATATTTTACAAAAACTTATAATTAAAATATATATTACAAATATGATAGTGGTTGAATTGACGACAGACGAAGACAGTCAATTCCAACAATTTCTTGCTCGATATAAACGTATTAAAGATAAAGAAGCACACCTCAGTCTACGAAATGCGTTAGTTGATCATTTGTGGAAAATTTATTCCAACGCATAAATATGTTATCTATGCATGTATAATATTTATTTAAAAATGTGTATGTCTAATATTTATATAAATGTATGTATAATATATATTTAAAAGTGTGTATGTGTAATACTTTTATAAATTCGTGTATAATATTTATTTATAAGTGTATTATAAATATAATATTGTTTTTTTTAATATTAATGTAATGAAAAAAATATAAATTAGTAGATGAGTGTGTTTGCAAATATATGTAAGTTAGAATAATAGAGTATACTTGGAATATACTTTTTGGATTTAAAAATAAGGGAAAAAATGAAGTTGGATTGAAGATAAAACACTATTTATTTTATTTTTTACTTCATTTTTGAAGGAAAAAATAGAAATAAGTTGGAGATGATCTAAGAAGAGTAAGAGGTCAATACACGATAATATACTCATACCAAGAAAAAAAAACTAAATGAGTCATAATAATTAAGACTAATATATATCGTTTGATTTAATGTAATTTCACATAAACAAAAACAATGATTGCTCAATATGACTTCTTTTTTCCTTTGTTAGCACATTCTATAGCTTTTCGTTGGCAGATGTTGGAGATTATCTTAGTGAGTTAGTGACGTAGTTGATCTCCCGTTCATAAAGACCTGATTGAGTCCAATCTAATATTGTGGCCCATCAATGGGATGACAAAGCCCACAAAAGCTGGAGACCCTCTAGAGACTAGAAATGGCAGTTGCTTGCATGATGGTTGCTCTTGAGCTTCGTATGATTTACGCCCTCAAGACCTGTGATCACTCAAGTAATCGAGGGAGATTGCCAAGTTTTCATGGCGTCAGTTCGTCGTCTTGCCCGGACAATTCAGACGTGCCGTACAATCTCATTTCGTAAAACCCTAACCCCTTCAAATCCAGCTCATCGCCACCTCTCCTACCGTACGTCTCTCAATTTTCTTGTTTTTGTTTATAAAAATGATCTGTTTATAGTTCAATTTGCTTTCTTGTTGTCAATTTTCTATGGCGGTATTCAATATCAGTTCAATTTTGTATGGCGGTTCTCAAAATTAGTTCATTTCATACGGCGGGCTGTGCTATCAGTTCACTTTTGTATGGAGGTTGTCGACAACGGTTGATCCTACTGATATAACTCAGTACTCCCTGTGCTTCACAATTGGGATCATTACTGCTGGAATTAATAGTTTTGTTGTTAATTCTTGCTGGAGTAATCAGAATCAACTCTTCTACCACTTCTATAACTAACTGAATCTTATTGCAAGTTTGATATCGTAACATCCACTGAACATCTGGGAGATGATACCAGGCTTCTCACTATCTCATAATTGCTACCTGCAGGTACTTTCAAGCAGAATAGCCACTCTTATCATGATAGTTCTTGGAGGTCAACAGATGCTTCTGGATTAAATTATCTTCCTGCAATGCTAGCTGGAATATTTGGGCTTGGCCTAGTAGATGTAGCCTATGCAGATGCACCTGAGGTTTGTGTCAGATTCTCATGTTTGATCATATCCTAGTAGAGCAAGTGTGGCTATATGTTTTATGTATGTTAAAGTTCATCATTTAGGGCCCTTTCAATCCATTTATCAAGATTTGGTTATGTACAGGGTGAGGCTAAAACACCTGAATCACCACCACCAACACATGTTGATATGGAAGCAATTGCCAAAAAAGAAAGAACTCGATTAGAAGAGTTGCTTAAAACCAAAGGAATGCAATACGGTTCTTACCCTCGGTTTACTGTTGCTGTGAAGGGCAAAAAGGTCATTCGGTTGCTTTCTTTCTCCAATCCACTCAATCAACATTGATGTTAACTTGATTATTACATTTCCAATTAAATCATATCGCAGGTTACAATCAAGTTCCAAATTCCTCCTACCTGTGAAATTGCACTTTTGATTTCAAACATTGTTGCAAATCTTGGTGTCAAAGTTGAAGAACGAGCTACAGGTTCAGACATGAATTTACGTGCTTGGGATAGGTAAGAAATAACAAAGTACTTTCTACTAAATTATATATACCCACAAATTATAATTTTTTTTTTTTTTTTTTTTTTTTTGTGTTGTATTACAGTGGTGTTGCTTGGCAGCTAACACTCAATCGCCCAGTGGATAAGAGGAGTTCTGATGCGAATCCAAATGATGAGGATCTTTGCATTCTGATGTTCCGATCACTCATTAGCTCTGATAAACCGGTTTTTATCCCCAAATTCTTTGAAGTTTATATATCTTTAAATTTCTATGCTAGGGTTTTACTTCTTATTAATTAAGGTAGTGTTTGGTATGTAATAATCGGAAAGGGAATGGAATGGAATGGACTGATCTATTCCATTTCCATTCCTTTGTGATTCCATTCCATCATACCAAACAGACACCCCAAACCATGATTACGTTATCAAAACTTTCTCTCTCTAGATATTTCCTAACAATGTCTATATATATATGTAACAAATAGGAAATGGAGTTTATAAAGCAAGGGAGCTTTACAGCTGAGGAGCTTGATGCTCTAGTGTCTGTGTTGAAATTGGCGGGAACAGGACAAAATAGGAGTATGGATAGAAGAGGAGATAATGCACGTAACCCTTCCTTGGATAAATCAGTTACCAGTTTAGAGGGAATGGGTGTCAAGATTTATGGACTTAAGGAGCCTAAATTAGAACACTCAAAATCTGAAGAAATATCATGGGAAAACATTGCTGGATATAGTCAACAGAAAAGGTATGAATATGAATATGTTATTATGTTGATTTTTTGGTAAATAATAAATATATCTGTTGACTTCCGAGATTTTTAAATATTGATTTATTTATGTGTAGAGATATAGAAGATACAATACTACTAGCTCTTCAGAGTCCCGAGGTTTATGATGAAATTGCTCGTGGGACCCGCTGCAAATTCGAGTCAAATAGACCCCGTGCAGTACTCTTTGAAGGCCCACCAGGTCTTTTTTTTTTTTTTTACTCCTAAATTATAAAAATTTTCTTGCAATATTTAAAAAAGTATTACAAAATTTGTTCCCTTTTTATATTATTGGTTTAATATCAGGTACTGGGAAGACATCTTGTGCTCGTGTTATAGCCAATGAAGCGGTAATTTATTTCATTTTTTTTTTTTTTTAATATTTTGACTAAAATAAAAAAATGATCCCTTTTTTTCTGTTAAAAAGGGCGCCCCGTTGTTATATGTGCCATTGGAGGTGATCATGTCAAAATATTTTGGTGAAAGCGAGAGATTGTTAGGGAAAGTATTTTCACTCGCCAATGATATTCCAAATGGTGCAATTATATTCCTTGATGAGGTATTTCTGCAAATAAAATAAATAAATAAACAAAATCTCAATTTCTATCGCCACCATTTTTTTTTTTTTTTTTTTCATTTTTGTTTATATTGTACTTGATTATTAACAGGTTGATTCCTTTGCTACTGCTCGTGATAGCGAAACCCATGAAGCTACTCGTAGAATCTTGTCAGTCATTTTACGCCAAGTAAGACATGACATAACAAGCTGTACTGTTTACTGTATCCTGTGTACTGTGTACTGAATACTGATTGTGATTACTTTTTGTTTTGCAGATTGATGGATTTGAGCAGGACAAAAAAGTGGTGGTGATAGCTGCAACCAATAGAAAGCAAGATCTTGATCCTGCTTTATTAAGGTTTATTATATTTTCTTGTATATAAATGAATTTAATAATTTTTTAACTAAAAACTCATTCTAACATGTGGTCAACTCTTTTTCTCAGTCGGTTTGACTCAATGATTACATTTGGTCTACCTGATCAGCAAACTCGCCAGGAAATAGCAGCTCAATACGCAAAACATTTAGCAAAAACCGAGTTATCTGAATTAGCTGCAGCCACTGAAGAGTATATTAATATTAATATTATTAATTAATTATTATATCATTGCACTTTCGATTAATTATATTATTATTTACAATTCAGAATGTCTGGACGCGATATTCGAGACGTGTGTCAGCAGGCAGAGAGGCGATGGGCATCAAAGGTATAGCAACATAATTTCATGTATCTGTGTATTATATATAATTTATAGCAACATACTTTCATTTCATTATATTACACCATTGTATTTTGAAGAAAGAAATATGAAGAAATGAAAGTACATTGGTATTTGTTGTTATATAGGTTATACGGGGACAAGCACAGAAAAATGAAGATGGTGCTTCTCTTCCACCACTCCAAGAGTACATTGAGAGTGCTTCAGAACGACATAAAGTTTTACTTGCAGCTTCAAGCCATAAAGAAGACAATAACTTTTCACCCAAAAAGAAGCCTCAGTATGATTTCCTTTGAGGTTTTTTTTTTTTTTTTTTTTTTTTATATATGTTTTTCAAGGTGAAATTGCAAAGTTTTTAATCTTAAGTTGATGCTTATTAACTTATTATATGTAAATATATAATACAGATTTTGAAGTTAAATACCAAATAGGCAAATAGCCATTAGACTTTATATTGAAACTATTTCTACTATTGTTTTATTGTGTAATTAATGTCTTTCATTGAGAAAAAGACAACTCACTACTATAACCCTATGGTTTGCCACAAACCAACCTTACTTTTACTTCCACAACAAGAAGCAATTTCACAATGAGAGATCATTTTTATTTATTTATTTGTATGGTCACCACCAAAAAAATAATATTAGAAAAAACTAAATTATTTTGTTATGCTGTGAAATTGTTCATATTTTAAGAATAGAATAACATGAAAGCTGGTTTAACCATTATATTTTAGTTTCATAAGTGAACAATTTGATTTTTTTCTCCGTTGACCTCTTTGACTTGCTTTGACATGCTATAACAGATTTTAAAATGGTTACAATGGAAAAATTTTCTCATAAAAACTCGTTATAGTTAACCTCGGACGATTTTAGGCAGATGAATAGACGATGTTAAAACAAAAGAATTTAGGGCATACAGTTAGAATTTTTAGTTTGGTTTATTAATTAAGAAATAAAGCCTTATTTTTTTTATGGGTCACAAAATATAAAATGAAATTAAAATGTCGCATTTACATGTACATGCATGTGATGAGATGCAACAACACTTGGGTTTCACTTTCACATGCCTAAATTGAATTGAAGTAAGCTTAGCAGCATTGCTCCTTCCCTGCATATAACAAAAATTTCTTAATGATTTTATGTATGTGCTTAACAATGACAAATTAGATAACATTAGATGCAAATAATAACAAATTAGTAAATTGTTCTAAACAACTTTTGAAAAAAGTTGATTATTGAAATAATACATTTTTAGTAAATAAAAATAGTAGAATGGTGACCTTGAACAATTAAAAAAGTCTTTTTTTTTTTTTTTTTTTTTTAAATAAAATGATGACATGACAAAACTAAAAGATTTAAAATGATTTTTTCAATTATTTTACCTATATTTTGGTAAGAAATCAAATTTGGTATTGATTGCATATATTTGGTATAATAATAATAATACTAATAAACAACTAATTTAATCTAAATACACGGTGAAGTTTGTTAATGGAGATATTAAAGGGTTTCACCTTTGAACGGAGCCCGGCGAGTCACCGTCGTCTTCTTCACCCCGCTTCCTTTTCCGATCACTTGTTTGTGAACATAAAAACGACGTAATCTGCAACTGAGTCTTCAACAACATCTCTGTCAACTCCGTTTCCCTCTCCAATCTCCGATTCTCCGCCTCAATCCTCGCCGCCTCCCTTACCTTCATCATCTCCAATTCCGCCACTTCCCGCCTCATCATACTCTCAGCAAGATCGCGTAAACTCGCCGCCACGCTCCACCGCGACGATCCGGAGCTTTCGGAGCTCCATCCTTCATCGTCGGAGGAGAATTCAACGTCGACGGCTGCCCGGTTTACTCGACGGTAACAATCTACGTCGTCGTTGCTGGAGCTCAGGTTCGAATTTGATTTATCTGCCATAATCGTGAATTCTAAATTTGGAATGATTGATCAATTTTTGGATAAAAATGATGCAAAAAAAAGTGGAATGATTGATCGGATTCCACTAACTACAAAATTCGATTACATACTTTACTTTTTCCAGTTTGAATAAATTCCATCTTTAACTAAAGAGGAATAATTTCTTGAACAATGTGTTCATTTAATTTTAATCGATTGGATCTAAGTTCATTAATCTGATTGAACTACATGAAATTAGTGTTATCTCAAATTCAAAGAGAAAGTGGTTTGATTTGGAAAACGTGTGAGGATCCCTCCTTGACAAAACACAAAAGTTAATTAGCATTTTTTTTTTTTTTTATATTTCTAACGTAATCTTCTCAACTACCATACTCGTTCGCAAGGATTTCGTGAACTTTATTTATTATTGTAAATTGGAGCTTTATATTATGCTTAACAGATTTCAAACGAGTTTAAGTTATTTTTTGATTAACGTAACATGTGTTTTAACATTTAATTGCATTTAATAAAATTAAGATCCAACTATGTATAGTGATAATGATAAGATGTGGGACCTAGGGAGTGTTTGGGAATGTTTTTTAACTTTAAAAGGTTTTTAGATAGAAGTGTTTATTTGCTTGTAGTGGTAGTAAAATGAGTTTAAAAAAATGTTTGGATAAACTTTTATAATGGAAAAACCATTAAGTCAATAAGTTAAAAAATATTTTGCAATAAAATGTTTTTGGAGTTATTTTGGTTGAAAAGTCACAAACAGTTTCAAAAAACCATATTTTAGATGCTTATTGAAAAGTACTTTTTGAAACTTATGGAAAAGCTATTCCGAAAAACGTTTTTGAGTTTGCCAAACATATTTTTTTGACTTATTAGCTTTTCAAAAAACCAATGAGCAAATAAACACTTTTCAAACGTAATCCCAAACACCCCCTTAATAGCAAAAAAGGTTATATTTGTAAAATTTACTGTAGCACACTAGCACACTGATTGAAGATGAAGCGGGCAACAAAAGGAAGCTGGACATTCAAGAGTTGGAGGGGATTAGAAATGATGCATATGAGAATGAAATGATTTACAAAGCGAAGACAAAAGCGTATCATGACAAAATAATCTTCCGAAAGACTTTTACAAAAGGTCAAAAAGTGTTTCTTTACCACTCGAGGTTCAAGTTGATATCATGGAAGTTAAGATCAAGATGGGTTGGTCCTCTTGTGGTCACAAATGTATTTGACCATGGTGCAGTGCCAGTGGAAATCACAAGCCAATTGTTGTGACATACTCTTCAAGGGGGTTGGATGCTTGATGATGTAACGGCTGTGGGAGCTTTCCTAAGAACACAATCACAGAAGAACCGTTAGAGGACGACCGAGTGTTCTCCCGTGACGTCGCTCTGATGATCAAGTTAGTTTAGGGTGAGAGAAAAATCTTACAGGTAATCTTCGTGAGAAAGATGGATCCCTCCCTTGAGACGGAATAGATCATTTTATACCTATTGCTAATGGATCGTGGGGACCGTCTCTCGTGAGCGTGATACGTGGCCTCTTATTACTGGGAGAGCTATTTATGCTAACTAAATGCGTCACTCGGTCTATTTGTTGCTTTCTCATTGGTTATGGCTGAATGAGGAGATCACATGGGATGTTCTTCCCTTGTGATGAGAAATGAGTTGTCGCTCCGGCTTTGGCTCTCTGAGGCCAAGACCGGGTCTCAACCAAGGCAGTATGTCTCTGTTACATTTAACGTGGCCGTTCATGGTAATGTTAACACCAACCAACCAGAAAAATATTCAAAGTCAATGGTCATAGATTGAAACCGTTTTACGAGGGATTCGAGGTGAAAAATAATGAGATAGAAGTGGTTGAGAACCCCACGTACCAAGACTGAAGCATACTCAGGGGCCAAGTCGAACCAATGACTTAAAATAAGGGTGGCTAACCGGGAGGCAACCCGAGGGTATTTTTGTCTTTTTCTTCAAAACATTTTCGTTTCTTTGAAATTTTTGGTTTTTAATGTTCCAAATGTATTATATCATGTTTTCAAATCACCAAACGAACCTCGGGATGCAAAACCATTTCTTTTGAATGAGTGGGGATTTTTGGGTTCAAAAATTAGGAAATGGCAAAACAGAGGCATACATGGCCCGTGTCCATTTTTGTCTGGCACTCAACACGGGTCGTGTTCAAGTATTGTGTAATTTTTTCAAATCAGAGCCGTGCATGGCCCATGTCATTTCAATTCATTTCAACACAGGTTATGTTCAGTTATTCTCGACAAGTTTTTTTTTAACCCAGTACGAGGCGTGCTATTTTAGTGTAAATGGGCACGGATCGTGTTCATGCTGCAGAATAGATGAATTTTAAGTCTTAAAATCGGGTTTTTACTTCATTTACTCGCAAATACTTCACAAAACAGCCTCGCTATCCCAAGAAACCCCAAAGTCTGACTTTTCTTGAAAATCCCTTGATTCTTTACCGATTTTGGCTTAAATCTTCAAAAAGGTTTGATTTTCTTTTTCTATACTTCATCTCCTACATCCCACACACAATTTTCATGCACTTTCATGGTAGATTTGGGGGTTTTCACAAACCCTAGGTCCGGAAATTACTAAGGATTTTGGTGTTTTTGTGCTTGAATGTTCATGTAGGCAAGCTTGGGGAGGTTGAAGAGGAATTTCTCACCAACAAAAACGCATTTCCACCAATGGTTTGATACATTCTTTCTAAATTGTTAAATTGTGGAATTTGTGTTTTTTGAGTCAAATTGAATACATTTGTAGCCTTTTTAGACTGGACAATCACATGGAAATCATTAAAAACTAAGTTTCCCATGAATTTTTGGTGGCCAAACTCGTGTTGACTGAACCCGTCAAAAGTTGACTTTTTGACTTTTTGACCAGTTGACTTTTTGCCCCAAATTTTGCACATGGAAGGCAAGCAATCGAAACGACCTAGGCACACTAAGTCGTCGGCCCGTCATCGTAGGTCTCCATCATCACTGCCTCTGCCTCCACCCGATCCGACACATGGTGGTGTGGTCTGTCTTGGCCTAATTCAAGTTGCAAAACTTGAGGCCTTTCTCTAGCACACTCATACTATTTAAATATTTGCACATGTGCCATCTCACCGTGAGTTGCACATCTATAAGAAAGTCCATATTTTGTTCCGGAACATTGGATGGCAGGGGTTGTTGCAGGTCCACAAGCTCAGCTTTAAAGTCCAAACAACTGAGTTCTTCTCCTCACTCTATTTGGACCACGGTGTCCTAAATTTTCGGCTCATGAACCATGATTATGCCCTGTACCTAAACCAAATCAATGCCATTGTTGGGGCCCCAACAGAAAACACTTTTGGCCCCAATGACCCGATTCCAGGATACAGTGATCTTACGTGGTGGGCTGACCTTACGCATGAACATCCATATGTCTCAAGTTCTGCTAAAGCCTCATCTCTCATCCATCATGTGATGAAAGCGGCTCATCGGATTATTGCTTTGCTCGTCGTACCTAGAGAAGAGCGAAGCACCATTTGCGCTTTTAAACTAAAGATACCTTATGCTATGGCCCACCCCGGATGATAACCTCATTCCTCACTATGACTCATTCCTTTGCAACAAGCTCACCAGCCTCAGCACATCGCGATCCGAAAAAATCTATTATGGTGACATTGTCAGTTTGTTTGCCAAAAGTGCTCCAGTCTGGGCCCCATATCCCAGAAATCACCAACCTCTGCCCGATGAGACCTACCTCACTACGACGGTACTCGAGTCCATGAAAATGTTTCAGATGGAGAACGCAAATCATAATTGAACCGTGGACCAAAACCACGACCCAAGACTCCTCATTACACCCAATAACCGAAACATCCTTTCCCTCAAGCGTCCTACCAACTTCACCGACTGGAAAATCACCCATACCTTTTCCTTGTCTCCTCTTCCGGTAAGGAAGATGAGGAAGGTTAAGAAAGTGATGATGATGATGATGATGAGGGTGGCGATGAGGCACCACAAAATCCTCCTCCTATGGGTATCGCTAGTTCATCCCATGATGCTCGACATCCGCCATACCACCAACAATACATGGATCAGTTCCAATCGATTCACACCCGCCTTGACTCCTACCATCAAGATCTCACGAGCCTAACACAAAGTTTTTCCTCTTTCACCACTCAATATGATTGGGATCAAGAGCACCAATGTAAGTATAAGGAGAACTATTGGGCTTAGACTTGAAACTCCGGGTACTATCCTCCGCAATAGGTTGTTCCACCCTCTCCACGCATCGGGGACGATGCTTATCTTTAAACTTGGGGAAGGGTAGTGTTGTATATTAGGTTCATCCTCATGGATTTATCTTCATGTATTTTCATGTTCATTTTCATACTTAAAAAATAATTATTATATATGAAATGATGACACTCTTTACATTCGATAGCTTCATGAAGCGGAAAAGCGAAAAATCAAAATGAAAAAATCCGAAGCGACCGGATTGCACTGGAAGTATAGAATTAGCTGTCATAACTAGGGGACCCAAACACCGTAATTCGAGACCGAATTTAGATAATAAAAAAAGTTGGCATACTGAAATGTTTTTGTGGACGATAATAACAGCTTTAGGATGATTTGCTTCTAAATGTTTCAAAAGAATCTTTATCGATTACTCTGGACCCACAGAACGCGGACCTATTTGTTGACACGTGTTACCCTCGTGGTAACAGAGAGCTTAAGTATTAGATCCACACAATCAAGAAGGAAGAAAGGGTACAACTGTCACATCAAGTACCCACATCAAAATTTCAAGCACCCTATCGAAGAAATTTTAAGAGATTTAAAAAAAAAAAAGATTGAAGAACTCAAAGCTCAAATCGAAGATACAAATCCAAGTTCAGTCAAATCAGAAGTCATCTCAAAGTCAAATCTGGCGAATGAAGAATTGTGTGATATGATACTTGTGGCTCTCGAAAAAGTGAAAGCATAGGAGTTGGGCGCTTTCGGGTGGGCTCACTGTTTCAGCGAAAGCTATTCGCCGTGACGGGTTCTTAAGGATGCGTCGATTCTGATTCTTGACCATCTAGTCTTAAGGACATGAGATCCCAAACTGTGTTATTTTCGCTCGCAAAAGGTAATTAAGGTGTGAAGTTTAAATAAAACTATGGTTAGATTATTGGACTACATCGTTCTGTGGCATTCCTCACTTTGGGAGTCTGTGATATGTGGAAGGTTGTAGGATGGTCGCCTAGGTATTAGTGATTGGAGCCCCATCGATGTAAAGTTTGATCGTATTTATATATAGAGTAAATTACACGAATGGTCCCTATGGTTTGTGGTAATTTGCATGTTTGGTCCCTAATTTACTTTTTTAACTTGGAAGGTCCCTACTGTTTGTTTTTGTTACGCGTTTGGTCCCTTCTATTTGTTTTTGTTACGCGCTTGGTCATAGTCTTACCTAAAAAGACTATTACTTGAATATGGAAAAATGATGGGATAGGTAGGGTAAGGTGAGGAGAGTAGGGTTGAGAGTGTGTTTATTTAAATAAATTAAAAAATCAGGGGCAAAATAGTCTTTTTAGGTAAGATAGGGACCAAGCGTGTAACAAAAACAAACAATAGGGATCTTCAGAGTTAAAAAAATAAGTTAGGGATCAAACGTGCAAATTACCCTAAACCATAGGGACCATTCGTATAATTTACTCTTATATATATTTATAAAAATAGATAAATTACTTGTGTTCTTAATTTTTTTCTTTGGTTCATTTTGTTTCTTAAGTATCTTCTGTACATGTTTTTTTGTTGTTGTTGTTGTTGTTGTTGTTGTTTTTTTTTTTTTTTTTTTTTTTTTTTTTTTTTTTTTTTTTTATTTTTAAATAGTTTTCATTGCATGCATTCATTCTTAGCTTTTAGGATCTTTCTGTTCCCTTTTGCTCTATGTTTTCTTTTTGCTATCTAGAAGTCATCATGTTTCGTCCGTTTCTTGTTCTTTCTTGAGGGCAAGAAATGTGTAAGCTTGGGGAGATTTGTTAGATGCATTTTGTGCACCTTTTAGTCCCTTTTATGCATCTTTTTAGCATAGTCGTTATTCATTTTTCTTGCATTTCATCTAATTCATGCTAGTCTCTAGAACAACCTTATGTACACACTTTCATATTTTTTTTAGGTAAACCAGATGTTAGAACGCGGTTTGGGAGGTGTCGAGAAGCATTAGTGAAGCTTTCAGGAGGATGGGGCGAAGAACGTAAAAGTTGGAAAAATCAAGTTTGGATTCGAAATCAAAGGAGTACACGGGTCGTGTTTGACCAGAAAAGAAGATGTTGACCTTGCTGAACACGACCCGTGTCAGTTTAGCTTATTTTGACATGGGCCGTGTTGGCCCAGTTGAGCAATTTTGAGCATTGTACTTTACAAGGAGAATTGAGGATTGAATGCCATTTTCCACTCAACACGACCCATGTTGATTTAATTTATTTTCTATTTTGACACGGGGCGTGTTCGACCTTAAAACCAACTTTTGACAGTTTTTCCTATTTTTCATATTATGGGAATTATGTCATTTTTACATACACACATCATATCAAAGCACAATTGGGGAGAGAATTTCGAAGGTTTTTGCAAGGATTTGATCATTTTTCATTTGGAAACGTTATTTCTCTTATTTTTATGTTGTAATTGCATACTATTTCCATCTTTTGACTTGTGATCCTGTTCTAGCCATGTGTAGCTAGAACCCTAAATTCTCCAACTTTATGTCTTGACTTTCAGTTGTGACTTCAATCATGTGATTTGATATTTTTTCCTAATATCTGTCTAGTGAATTTGATTTTTCCTTAATTGAATGTTTGATTCTAACTGCAATTCTTATTGGCCATTTGAATTCGGGTTAGGTTATTCAAGTTATCTGTTTTGCAAAATCCATAATTGTTTTATGAATAGAGCAAGTAACAAGTACTAAATTGAATTTTTTTGAATAAATCTAGTCTAAATCATATTCACACATTCTTACGCTCCCTAGCTTGTAAGGAGTATTGAATGTTTTTGGAAACATTCACATAAAGCTTAATGCAACCTTTCAACCTAATTCTAAGAGCTTGTTTAGATTAGATTGGTGAGGTTAGGGTTAATCAAAGAGCTTATTTTGGTTACGTAATGTGGTGAATGAGAAATGTTAGAGCTTGTTAACATTTTCAAGTACCAATTTGGGTTGAATTGAACAAATATCGTGTCATTTTTGAATCACATAGCTAAGTCATCACACATAGAGTTGAAGTCCTAAAAAATTTTGAATTTACTTTAATCAGCTAATCGTTTGTTTGTCCATTATATTACTTATTTGAATTGTTACATACAAACCCCCCCCTTTTTTACTTTTGATGATCAAAGTACCTTACCCAAAGAGATATAGTCTGATTGTCCTGTGTCTCTGTGAAACGACCCTACTTGCCTTGTACTACCTTTTTGTGCAATATAGTACTGTTCTTTTGGAGTATATCGTATCCCTATTATTTGTTGGGTTTGACACTCCTAACAAAGAACCAGATTCCTAATGGATTGTATAGGTTTGCTTTTCAAACAAATATTTCTACCCTATGACCGGGATATAAGAAATACTGTTTAGGATAATCCAAAGAGACATTTACGAATTTAAGCACATAAATATAAGCCAAAATTTCAGAGACTTCTAAGATGTTTAGAGAAGAAGGAGAGCTAGAGAAGGTGTATTGACGACCCAATAGAAGAGTTGTACTTATACTTGATGATTAAGGTTTCTGTCTTCTAAATTAGTTAAGTAAATCACAGGATTAATGACATATTAATAGTTTCCAAAGCTGAGGAGATTTATCAATTTTACCATAATCACCCATTCGAATTTGGATTTTCCACTATAATAATTGACAGAGGCCACTATGAGGGGTTCTACCCCTTGGACCCTACTAGGGGGTCTACTCCTAGGACCCTGTAAGAGGGCACCACCCCTTGACCCTTGCCATTTGTCGTACATGATATGTTTTAATAATCTTAACAAAAAACAAATTCAAGACAACAGATGTAACACCCCCCTCTGGCACGTATCACAATATTGTCCGCTTTGGGCCACTCGGCACTTTTATTAGGTATCTTGTTAATTGCATTTTGTTGATTTGTGAGGGGGACTCGGCGAGTTGGAGCTCAGACTCGCCGAGTAGGGACGCGGATTTGGACGCCGGATCGCGCCTGGACTCGGCGAGTCCAGGGTATGGACTCGGCGAGTCTGCGATGTGTAATGAAACCCTGATTTCTCGGGTTTGAGACTTATTTAAAGGGCCTAATGGCCGTCATTTGTGCCCACCAGCCCTTGAGTGAAACCCTAATCGTGTGTGAGCACTTGGAGCTAAGTAGGAGGCCATTATTGACCTTGAAGGTGCCATTTTTGAAAGGAAGAGAAGAGCTAGCCAAGGGAGAGCAAGAAGGAGCCATTTCTGTGGGTTAGGAGTCCAGAGCATCATTTTGTGGTAATAAATCCGAATTATCTTCTTGTTTGTTACTATTTATTTAGATTTAGGGTTGTTGAACCCTTTCATGGCTAGGATTGGTGTCCTTTTTGGTCCCTTATGTAGCACCTGGTTTCCGGTATGTGAAATTTATTTGAGTATTGCCCTATTTTAGCCTTGGACTCGGCGAGTCACTAGGTCCGACTCGCCGAGTAGGGACGAGACGCAGGACACGTTTAAGTTGGCGACTCGGCGAGTCCATATCCTGGACTCGGTGAGTCACCGCTGTTGGATGAAACCCTAAGTTTCAGGGGTTTGCACCCTATTTAAACCCCATATCTGCCCCTTGCCAGCCCCCATTCACCCCCAGAGCTCCCAACCCTCGTCCTAACTCGTCCTAAGCTTGTTCTTGTGAATTTGAGGCTCTTGTGTGCATTCTTGAAGGTTTTGAGGC